TGAAGTTATTGACAGTTTCAGTCTCCTCTTCATCTATCATGATGTTGTCTATCAATCCAGTGGTAAGAATCTTTATTTTCCTGACATGGAGATGCAATCCATAGTGAAGGCTGCATTCCCTGATCTTTTTCAACAAGTGTGTCAAGTCCTCCTGATCTAAAGCAAGCAGAGCTGTGTCATCTGCATAGTGAAGTTTATTGATGAGTCTCCCTCTGATCCTGATGCCACATTCTCCTTCATAGAGGCTAGCTTCTTGAATAATTTTCTTAGCATACAAATTGAATAGGTATGGAGAGAGAATACAACCATGAGACTCTCCTTCTTAATTTTAAACCTTGTCGTGTTCCCTTGCTCTGTTCCAACAAAAGCCACCTGACCTAGGTATCAGTTTCACATGAGTATAATTAAATGCTCCGAGGTTTCCGTTCTTCTCAATGTTAGCCATAACTTGTTATGATCCACACCATCAAATGCCTTTGCATAGTCAATAAAGCATAAATAGACATTCTTTTGTTATTACCTACTTTCAGCCAGTCGTATCTACTACTGTCAGTCTGACATCAGCAATGATATACCTGGTACTTTTGGCTCTTCTAAATCCTGCTTGAACTTCTGGAAGTTCCCCATATATGTACTGTTCTACCTGTGTTTGTTCTTCAGCAGTACTTTCCTTTCATGTGATATTAATAATATTGTGCAATATTTTCCATATTCCATTGGATCACCTTTCTCAGGAACGGAAACAAATATGGACTTTTTCCTATCATTTGGCCAGCTGTCTGTCCTCCAAATTTCCTGGCATAGAATGGTAAGTGTATCCAGGGCTGCATCTGTTAATTGAAATAAGTCAACTGATATCCCATCTATTCCTGTGGCCTCATTTTGCCACAGCCTTCAGTTCAGTTTCCACTTCCTTCTTCACTACCATTGGCGTCTGTTCTTGTGGTCCATCCTGCAATTCTTCATTGTTACTTAGTTCTTTTTGCTATAGTGATTCTATATATCCCCTCCATCTTCTTTCATAGCATTCTGGGTCATTCAATATATTGTATGTAGCATCTTTTAATATTGTGACTCAAGGCTTAAATTTGTTTTTCAATTTGCTCAGCTTGAGAAATGCAGACTAGTTCTTCCCTTTTTATTCTCCAATTTCCACTCTTTCTGCACATTCTATTATAATACTTTGCTTTGTCTTCTCTAGCTGTTCTTTAAAATCTATTCAGCTCTTTTTACTTCTGCATGTTTTCTCTATGCTTTGGCTTCTCGATGCTTTATGGCAATTTTAGTCTCTTCTGACATTCATTTCAGTTTTGTCTTCCCCCTCTGTTATTGTAATGACCTTTTGGTTTCTTCATGGATGATATCCTTGTTATCATCCCATAACTTATCTGGTCTTTGATCTTGGTGTTCAATGCCTCAAACCTGTTCTTAAAATGACCTTTAAATTCAGATAGTATTATATTAGGGCTCTCTTGGACCTATTTTAACTTTTTTTTCTGCCTCAGTGTGAACTTGCATGTAGTATGACCCAAAATACTCCTCTGGCCTACTTTTGACTGCCACTGTTGAGCTTCTGCAATAATTCTTTCCACAGTTTTAGTCAGTCTTATTCTTGTGCAGCCCGCCAGGTGAGGTCCATGTAAAATGTCACAACTGTATCTTTTTTAAAAGGTGCTTGGAATGAATAAATCATTGAAAATACAAAATTCAGTCATCCTGTTTCTTACCTCACTTTTATCACCAAGCCCATATTTTCCAACTACCATTCCTTCTTCACTGTTTCCAACTTTTGCATTCCAGTCACCAGTTATCATTAACACATCTAGTTTGCATATTAGGTCAATTTTGAATTAAAAGATTTGGTAAAAATGTCTTCATTTTTAGCTGTATATGTAGAATCATATATTTCAATAATAGTTGTATTAATGGATCTTACTTACAACATTGTCTTTCAGGAAAGAACCTGAAATTGACATTTTTGTTTTTAAAAAATTTTTAATTGACTTTTTTACTGTGAATGTACCACCATTCTTCTGTTTTTCATTCTCACTATAGTATACCATATGATTCAAAGTGGCCAAAGGTAGTCCATTTCATCTCATCTCACTAATGCCTAATATGTCGATGTTCATGCATTTCATTTCATTTTTCTCAATTTCTAGTTTTCCAACATTGAAGCTACATACTTTCTGTGTTACAGTAATAGTGATGATTGCCATTATTTTTTCTCATTTCACTTGATTTTCATTCTGGGCTCTACCACTACTTCTATAACTAAAACTGATTTGCTATTGGAGTTACAAATTAAATTGCCAGTTTGGGGAGAACATTGTTGTAGTTGGTACAGTACTTTTCTGTCAATTTGCTGTACTGATATAACTTGTGTATTGCTGTGATACTGAATACTATGCCATTGGTGTGTTAAATGCCTCAAGGTTACCCATGGACAGATTTTTGGTAGAGCTCCAAGATTAACACAGAGTAGGAAGCAGTATTGGCAACCCAACCTTCCGAACATTAAAGGAATGTGTATAGTTATATTAGTAGGATGACTGTTAATCCTTTGTTATTGTTGCTTCTTAATATTGTCCAGATTTTTCAAGTACTATTTATTAAACGACTGGAACAGCACATCAACAGAGAACTGCCAGAAGTCCAGGCTGGTTTTAGAAGGGGTCATGGTAGTAGGGATATTGCAGCTGATGTTAGATGGATCTTAGCTGAAAGCAGGGAATACCAGAGGAATGTCTATCTCTGTTTCATTGACTATGCAAAGGCGTTTGACTGTGTGGATCATAACAAACTGTGGGTGACTCTGAGAAGAATGGGAATCCCAGAACACTTGATCGTTCTAATGCGAAACCTATACTTGGACCAGGAGGCAGTCGTCAGAACAGAGCAAGGGAACACTGAATGGTTCAGAATTGGGGAGGGCATATGCCAGGGATGCGTCCTATCTCCATACCTTTTCAACCTGTACGCAGAACAGATTATCCGGAAGGCTGGGCTCTATGAGGAGAAATGTGGGGTCAAGATTGGTGGGCAATCTGTCAACCTGCATTATGCAAATGACACAACCCTGCTTGCTGAAACTGAGGAGGACCTGAAGCGCTTGCTGCAGAGGGTCAAGGACTGCAGCCTCCAATATACATTGAGGCTCAATGTCAAGAAGACAAAGATTCTCACCACTGGACCAATTGGCAGCATCAGGATGGATGGTGAAGAGATTGAGATTGTTCACAGCTTGGCTCCACGGTCAATTAAAAGGGAAAGTCTGCTGTTAGGGACCTCTCCAAAGTACTGAAGAACAGTGGTGTCTCTTTGGAGATTAAGGTGCGTCTGATACAGGCCATGGTCTTTGCAATCACTTGTTATGCATCAGAGAGTTGGACAATGACCAGGGAGGGTAGAAGGAGAATTGATGCCTTTGAGCTGTGGTGCTGGAGAAGAGTGTTGAGAGTACCATGGACTGCTAGGAAAACAGACATATTCATCCTGGAAAGGCTTAAACCGGGTGACTCCTTGGAGGCAAGGATTCTGAGGCTCCATCTAACATCCTTTGGACATGTTGTAAGGAGGGACAGGTCCTTGGAAAAGGACATGCTTGGGAGGGTGGAAGGACAGTGCAAGAGGGGAAGACCCTCTCTGAGGTGGATTGATTCAGTGGCTCGGGTAATCCGGATGGGAGTGTCAGAAACTATGCGATTGGCACAGTACAGAGCAGAGTTTAGGGCTGTTGTACATATGGTCGCTATGGGTCACAAGTGACTCGACGGCACATAACAACAACAACAACAACAACAATTTATTAAATGAAGAAATGAACATTTTTATTTTGTAAAATGTAACAATTTTTTTCTTTAAGCTTTCATAGCTTTTGTTTGTGTAGAAAATTTTCCTACTTTCAGAATATGCAAATATTTCCCATTATCTCTTTAGTTACTGGTTTTCTAAGGGTGTAATTCACCCAGGATGAAATTTCCCATCTTTTCCTTACAGAGTCAGTGGTGAATTTGAACCACACAGAGGTCTAGCCTTTGGGTTAAAAGCCCAAGTTCCAGCTAGGTCACTGAAGTCCCTCAAGTTGTATTCAGTCAAAGGTACAGTTATGATTGTTGAGTCAGGACCAGCTAAGTGGTAACCCTTCAGTGGGTTTTCAAAGTCTGTAAACCATATGAGAGTTGATTGCTTCCTTTCTCCTGTGGAGCAGCTGGTAGCTACAGACCACTTACTTGCCTTTGTCAAGTACTACTCTTTACCACTAGGCTACCAAAGTGCCTACATTAGTTTCTTTTATTATAATTTTTAATCCATCTAAAATTTATTCAGATCTGTTGATTATCACTATGAGACATAGGGAACTCTGGTGGCCTAATAGTAAGAATCTGCACTACAGTCCCAAAGGCACAGTTTGAATCCACCAGCTGCTCTATGGGCGAAGGGTGAACAGTTGCCTCCTGTGTGATTGATTGCCTCTGAAAACCAGCTGAGGGTCAGCTGAGTCTGTTCTGACTTGACAGCATACAACAACTGAATTTATTTTAGCTGTGGAAGGAAATACTGATACGTAAAGTCATTGTTATCATATTGCTGAATTAGTATGTAAGGTTATTTGTGAACTCATTTCTGTTCCATGAAATTTTTCCCTGTGGCAATAGCAAGTGGTATTAATAATTTCCGTTTATAAAGAATCTTAGTGTCTGTTGGGCAAGATTTCTGTCTTGGGATAAATTGTATTCCCCCCAAACAGGTGCTTGTTTACCTCAGCTTGATCCTTGGTATTTTGGTCATGTAATGTCACAATTATGTTCTGATCTCTATTTATTTATTAAGCTAATGGACAGCATTGTAAAAAGGATTAAGAGTGGTATGAAAATGTCAACAGGAACAAAATGCAATCTACTTTCCTCTTTGCCTCTATCACCTCATGAAGTCAAGGAGCTCCACTTACTGTAATAAGTTGGTTTTTCTTACCCTGATGACTTTTCTTTTATCTGCAGACCCATTCTGAAGAGCGACCATTCCAGTGTGAGGAGTGTAAAGCTTTATTCCGGACCCCGTTTTCTTTGCAGAGACACCTGCTGATACATAACAGTAAGTCACAGTTAAAGCAATTAAGAACAAATGGATATTTTAAACTTTGTTTTCATTATCTTTGAAGTTGTAGGCATCATGAAAGTGTCCTTCATTTTTTCTTTAACATTATGCTATGTTCCTTTAGTAAGATTAATAAACTTATGGCATTTTTAGTTCTATCGTATATTCTCATTATTTAAAAAATATAATGGGAGGTGTGGTGATCTATTAGGTAAGAAGTTGTTCAGTCTTCTCCTTTGTAATTTATAGGCTCTCAAAACCTGCTGGAAGGTTAGCTTTGAGTCCATTCAGATGCAATGGCAACATAGTGATGATTAGTTACTTTACATACAAAACTATGTCATAAGATCACAAATATGTCTTTGAGGTTTCTTTTGGAAAAAAACAACATTACTCCCTTTCAAATGTAAAGATTAATGAAATCTATGACTTAATACTCATATATCTGGCAAAATTTTTACTGGCATTTAAACTTTTAATGTTGGAAAATACCAGAGTACACATCAAATTTAATCCCTTAGATTGAGAAGTATTGGAAAAAAATGAAGTTTACAGAAGGAATCAGTATTTCAAAGTATTAAAATAGTACTAAGATCTCACATAAGGAGGTGCTTTCTGTAACTTGCTACACTTCTTCTCTTTTCTTAGTTCTGAGCAGTGCATTTCTCTCCCCTTTTGGATTTTTGTGTAAATATATCATGAACATTTCTTTAGCAGTTTCCCTCAGATCTACTTTCAGAATATTACTGAATTTATAGACATACTGCTAAAGGACATTAATCATTAATTTATGTAATCAAACTACTACCTACTGCTCAGACTGACTCATTATGGGTCTCCTTTGGATTTTTAAGGCTAGAAAACTTTATGGTATTAGACTGTCCATTTTTCTTTTGTAGAACAACTGATGTTGTAAATTACAGACCTTTTGGTTCACAGTCCAAGTTTCTACATACTACATCACCAGGGCTCCTTTTATCTGTATTTAGAAGCTGAATGTTTCATTGCTAAAAAAGAATTTTAAAAATGGATTTTCAAACTATTGAGTCTCTCACTCAGGTATGAAAATAACCAAAGATATTTATATTTTATAAATATTTTGTAACGTAACACTTATTTTTATTACTTTTCATTTCAGATAATCAATCACTAGACTATCTTCTGTAACAACATAGAAACTTTTTTACAGACAGCATAAGGAAATCCTTAAGGGCTTAAAGTTAGGAAGAGTGGTGTCAGAGTTGTATCCTCTTTCCATACCTATATAATCTGTAAATTATTCAAGAAGCTGGACTTGACAAAGAAGGTGGCATCAGGACTGGATTGGAAGAAAACTCATTAGTAACCTTAGTTATGCAGACAACACAACTGCACTTGCTTAAAGTGAGGAGGACTTGAAGTACTTGCTTCAGAAGGTTAAATACTGCAGCCTTTAATATAGATTGCATCTCAATGTCAAGAAAACAGAAATCCTAACCTCTGGACCATAGGCAATATCATAATTTTTGTTATCATTATGTGCCTTCAAGTCACCTGCAACTCATAGCCACCCTATACACAATAGCCCTAAACCCTGCTTTATCGTTTGCCAATCTTACTGTCTCTGATATACCTACTCCCATTACCCTAGTCACTGAATCAATCTATCTCATTGTGGGTCTTCCTCTCTTGCACTTTCCTCTGCTCTCGTGAGTATGACATCCCTCTCCAAGAACTGGTCCCACCTTGTAACATGTCCAAAGTATGTCAGACAGAGCTTCAGAATCCTCACCTCCATGGAGCAGCCTGGCTTCACCCTCTCCAGGACGAGCTTGTTTGTTCTACTGACAGTCCATGGTATCCTCAAAACTCTTCTCCAGCACCACAGTTCAAAAGCATCAACTCTACTTCTATCATCCATAGTCATTGTCCCGCTCTATGATGCATAGCAAGTAATTGCAAAGACCATGGCCTGTATTAGGCACAGGTGCACCTTTGTCCCCAGACTGATGTCGTTATTCTTCAGTACTTTGGAGAGGTCTCCAACAGCCGACTTTCCCATCGCAATTCATCTTTTAATTTCCAGGCTGTTGGTACCAAGAGTGTTGATTTTAGAGCCAAGCAAACTGAAGCTGTCAATAATCTCAATCTCTTTACTATCTATCATGATTCTTCCTATCGGCCCAGAGATGAGAATATTTGTTTTATTAACATTGAGCTTCAATCCCTATTGAAGGCTGCAGTCCTTGACCTTTTGCAGCAATTGCTTTGGGTCCTCCTTAGTTTTAGCAAGCAGGGTGTGTCATCTGCATAATGCAGATTCTTGATGAGTCTATCGCTAATCCTAATGCCACATTTCTCATAAAACGCAGCCTCCTGGATAATCTGTTCCGAATATAACTTGAAAGATATGGAGATAGGACACGTCCTTGATGCACACCCTTCCCAATTTTGAACCATGCAGTGTTTACTTGCTCTGTTCTGACGACTGCCTCCTGGTCAAAGTATAGGTTTCACATAAGCACAATCAAATGTTTTGGGATTCCTATTCTTCTCAGAGTCAGCCACAGTTTGTAGTGATCCACACACAGGCTATACATGTGGATTTCACCTGATGGTATGCATAGGAATCAGACTGATTACAACTGTGGAAAGAACCACTGGAGAAGCTCAATATCAGCCATGAAAACTAGGCCAGGTGCTGATTGTGGAACAGATCACCAACTACTTATATGCAAGTTCAAGCTGCAGATGAGGAAAATTAAATCAAGTTCGCAGAATCAAAATTTTACCTTGAATCTATTCCATGTGAATTTCAAAACCATCCAAGGAGCAGGTTTGAGGCCTTGGACAATAATGAGCAAAGACTGGATGAGCTGTGGGAGGATATCAAGAATATCATCCAGGAAGAATGCAAAACGTCTTACAGAAATAGAGGAGGAAGAAAAAAACAAGATGGATGTCAAAAGAAACTCTAAATATTGCACTGGACAGCCAATAAGTCAAATTAAAGGGAAGAAATCAAGATATTAAGGAGTTGAACAGAAGATTCCAGAGAGCAGCGCAGGAAGACAAAGTACTACAGTGAAATGTGCAAGGCGCTTTAGTCAGAAAATCAAAAGTACCGAACTGGCTCAGCATCTTTTAAGCTAAAGGAACTCAAGAACAAATTCAAACTTCAAGTTGCAATACTTAAGGATGCTTTGGGCAGAATATTAAGTGATCCAGGATGCAATAAAAGAAGATAGAAAGAGTATACCAAAAGTATTGGTGGACACAGAATAATTTCATGAAATAATGTATGAGCAAGAGCATGTGGTGATGAAGCAAGAAGTTCAAGCAGCTCTGAAAGAATTGGCAAAAAACAAGACCCCAGGAACTGATGGCATACGAATTGACATATTTCAACAAACAGATGCTACCCTTGATGTGCTCATCAAGTTGTGCCAAGAAATCTGGAGGATAAACACCTGGCCAACTGGCTGGAAGAGATCTGTATTTGTTCCCATTCCAAAGATCACCTTTCTTTGGAAATCATTTAACAGTATCATTGATACCACATGTAAGCAAGATTCTGCTCAAGATTATCCAAAAATGTCTGGAACAGCACATCAACAGAAAAATGCCTGAAGGGCAGGCTGGATTTAGAAGAGGCCGTGGCACTAGGGATATTACAACTAATGTCAGTTGGATATTGGCTGAGAGCAGAGAGTACTAGATGCGGTAATGAGTAGTACTTTAAAAATTCTGCTAGTTATAATACAAACAACCCAGGAATTAAAATATGAAGGAAGAGTAGTTAATTGTTTTTAAGGACTTCTCTGTTAAAACTTGGTGAAATTTTTATACAGGGACAAAGATTTTCAAGATTAGGTTGTTAAGTTTAATGAAAATGCTTTGATATACATAATCTTGGGTAATTTTCCTTTTCCTTTTTTCTATTTCATACATTAAAGATTTGATACTGTAATATGAGTATAGTCTATGATATTATTATTATTACTGTCTTTCCTAAATTGATATTTTATTTTACTGTTGTTATATACAATGTAATCATAACTGACTCTGTCATTACTCATGTAATCGCCATGGTTTGCAGTCATTTTATGACAAATGATAATGAAAATATGTTAGTATAATTTTTCTCTATTAAGAAGATCCATGTAAGATGAAATAATTGACAATTTCAGGCTTTTTTCCATTTATCATGATATCGCTTATTGACCAAGTAGCATTTTTTCTTTTTTTCTTAAACTCAAATTTCAGTTGTGTTTTAAATGAACATTTACAGAGAAGTTAGATTTTCATTCATTGATTGTTACACATTTTACCCCTTCTCCGTTCCTTTCCCCTCACCCAGCTCACTTTCTTTTTTAAATATTCACTCGTTGTTGCACAATTACCTGCCCTTGCTACCCCACCTCCCGTCCTTTTTGCAATGATGTACCTCTTATTCTGGGCTATGGTTCTACATCTATTCCTGGGGCCTTATTTTTTGCTATTTCCTTCAAAGCAGTTTGAACTTCTTCCTTCATCACCATAGGCTCTTGCTCATATGTTATTTCTTTAAATTCCTCTGAAGTATTTCAGATAA